AGACAGTATACTTTACAGTGTTGATAAGCTAGTGTTCTTTATAGACAGTATACTGTACACAGAGTGTTGATAAGTTAGTGTTCTTTATAGACAGTATACTTTATACAGAGTGTTGATAAGCTAGTGTTCTTTATAGACAGTATACTGTACACAGAGTGTTGATAAGATAGTGTTCTTTATAGACAGTATACTTTATACAGAGTGTTGATAAGTTAGTGTTTTTATAGACAGTATACTGTACACAGAGTGTTGATAAGATAGTGTTCTTTATAGACAGTATACTTTATACAGAGTGTGGATAAGTTAGTGTTCTTTATAGACAGTATACTTTATACAGCGTGTGGATAAGCTAGTGTTCTTTATAGACAGTATACTTTATACAGAGTAATACTTTATAGACAGTATACTTTATACAGTGTTGATAAGATAGTGTTCTTTATAGACAGTATACTTTATACAGAGTGTTGATAAGCTAGTGTTCTTTATAGACAGTATACTGTACACAGAGTGTTGATAAGTTAGTGTTCTTTATAGACAGTATACTTTATACAGAGTGTTGATAAGCTAGTGTTCTTTATAGACAGTATACTTTATACAGAGTGTTGATAAGATAGTGTTCTTTATAGACAGTATACTGTACACAGAGTGTTGATAAGTTAGTGTTCTTTATAGACAGTATACTTTATACAGAGTGTTGATAAGTTAGTGTTTTTTATTTATGTACACTTGATATAGACAGTATACTTTATACAGTTAGTGTTACTTTATACAGTGTGATAAGCTAGTGTTCTTTATAGACAGTATACTGTACACAGTGTTGTAGTGTTCTTTATAGACAGTATACTTTATCTAGTGTTCTTTATAGACAGTATACTGTACACAGTGTTGATAAGATAGTGTTCTTTATAGACAGTATACTGTACACAGTGTTGATAAGTTAGTGTTCTTTATAGACAGTATACTGTACACAGAGTGTTGATAAGTTAGTGTTCTTTATAGACAGTATACTTTATACAGAGTGTTGTATATACACAAGTGTTGATAATGTTCTTTATAGACAGTATACTTTATACAGCGTGTGGATAAGCTAGTGTTCTTTATAGACAGTATACTTTATACAGAGTGTTGATAAGATAGTGTTCTTCATAGACAGTATACTTTATACAGAGTGTTGATAAGTTAGTGTTTTTTATAGACAGTATACTGTACACAGAGTGTTGATAAGTTAGTGTTCTTTATAGACAGTATACTTTATACAGGGTGTTGATAAGTAAGTGTTCTTTATAGACAGTATACTTTATACAGGGTGTTGATACGCTAGTGTTCTTTATAGACAGTATACTTTATACAGAGTGTTGATAAGTAAGTGTTCTTTATAGACAGGATACTTTAAACAGAGTGTTGATATGTTGGTGTTTCGGATAGACAGATAACTTTATATAGAGAGTTGATGTTAGCGTTCCTTATTTACAAATTCTCTATAGACAGTGGTTATACAGAGTGATGTCCCTTGTAAACAGTAGTTTTATAGACAGTTGTTCCCTGTAGACAGTTGGTACGTAAACTGATTTCCCACGTAGAAAGTAGTTATACCGCCAGCTGTCCGCGATAGACAGTAGGTATAATGACAGATACCATATTGACAGTAGCTCTATAGAACAAAAATCAATATAAAAAAGAAGTCAGATAGACCGGGGTTATTCAATTCTAAGCACTAAAAATTCATGCATTTGTTTATTACAGACGGATCCTCGCTTTTTCACACCTTACGACGGCTACATGATGGACCCGTACAACTATGAGCAACAGGATACCAAGACTAAAGCCACTGCCTACACCCGTTACCCAAAGCCGCCTTACACCTACTTGGGAATCGCCGTCATGTCTATAGAATTGTCTCCAAGGAAAGCTCTAACCCTGTCTGGTATTTTCGACGCCATGTATGAGATGTTTCCCTTCTTCAGGTCATCCTACATAGGATGGAAAGCATCGCTACGTCACACGCTGTCTAAGTATGATTGCTTCGTCCGCAAAGAGAACGGTGAATGGAGCGTCGATCTCACCAAGGTTCAGTCGTCCGCCTTTCGTCGGCAGGACACGATCGTCGCCCGTCAAGGAAACTACGCCTGTGATTTACACCGACAGCTCAACGTACCCAGAGTGAAACTGCCATCAGATATTCAGAATATGCCGACTTCGAAGTTTGACTCATCCTCAGATTCTTCAGAAGCCATGTCGCCGAAAATCGTTGTAGACGGATCACCAGAAAAACCGACGCGTAAGATCGACATCATTTCTCTTGACTCTGGCAAGAAGACTGAACATGTAAAGAGGCCTGACCCGTCAGTCACCAGAGCTATTAGTTCTTGCCCACGGATCACGGTAGCCACCTCCTCCTCTGCCATGTCTTCAGCACCGCCGGTCGTCGATCACTACATGAAGAAGTCGCCAGTCTGGTCAACGGAGGATGCATACCAACCATTTTCGATGACGTCATCTCAGTTTTCACCGTCGTCAACCTCAGAACGCAGCAGTTGTATGCAAAATTATTTGCCTTCATTCAACTCTTTCTTCGCTGGAACAGCACAGGATATCTCGCCATCACTTTCTCCGATGTGGAACAACGCGTTACTGCTAGATGATGATTGCGACAACTCTTTCAGCCAGCGCGACATGCCAGATTTGACACCTGCTTGGAAGATACTGAGTCAGCCCCCCTCCACAGACGCTTCCAGCGACTACCGACCAACAACTTCCCCCATCTTCACCGACCTGACAGCGCTAGTCAGTACCTCTACGCCAGTGGAGAAGAGAGCAAAAAGTACCCTTCGTCTCCCTTTGCGGCCAGCACCTGAGAACCAGACGACAAAGTTTCTCATGGACGACATCCTAGGTGAGCGTGACGGACCAGCAGATCGTCCGTGCACAGCAAAGTCGACTTCCCCGACGCAGTCATCACCGTCTAGTAGTTATCTGACTGTAGATACAAGTCTTACCGTCGACAGCCAATCTCGATCGCCAGACTGCCAGCACGCAGAATTCCCCACAACTTTATGTTCATTCTCATCAAAACTGTCTTCATGCCAGATGTTGTCCTCGTTCATGACCAATGCACCAGGAAAGACACTGAAGAGGAAGAGAACCAAGCCGGCTAGGAAAATGAGTCGTTCAGACCAGGCAGATCACAGACCCGCATCCCCTTCTACTCTACAGACCTACAACCAGACGTCCGCTATGGATAATCTTCAACGACTTTGTCAAAACTACAACGTCGGTAGCGTCAATCCTTACAATCCATCATTCCTAAACCAACAGTACGCTCCAGTTCCTGCGACTTTTGGCCATGGTCTCCCAGCATCATCAGCGACACCCTTCCATTACCCTCAACAGCATAACTACGTCGATTTCCCTTGCGCTGGCTACTACAATCAACAAATCACTCCTTACCAAGGCTATCCGTCCATGCATCTGTCACAAGACGCGTCAGGTCACGTTTCTATGTTCCCCCCTTATTTAGCGCATGCTTACTCAGTTCAGCGACCGGATATGCGCCCGATGGACCTCAGTTCGACAAGGAATTGGGTGACGCAGTAACGCATTCTCCTGAATTTGTGATTTTTTCATTTTCCATTACAACTATTACAATTGGAAGTGAAACCAATTAAATTGTGTTATTTAACGCTGTTTTATCACGTGCATACCTGATTCGGTGGGCAAATGTTAGTGAACTAACTTGGACTTTATATAAGTACATGTATGTGCCAGTGTTACGCCGTGAGGATATTTTACTGCTACAATGTATTATATTGGACGGTTCTGATATTAATGTGGTTCTTGGTTTTACTGTGTTAAGTTCTCTGATGGCAGGTAATACTAAGTATTGATATCAGTAACGGTTAATGACAGGAAATATTAAGTATTGCTATCAGTAAGGGTTGATGACAAGTAATATTAAGTATTGCTATCAGTAAGGGTTGATGACAGGTAATATTAATTATTGCTATCAGTAAGGGTTGATGACAGGTAATATTAAGTTTTGCTATCAGTAAGGGTTGATGACAGGTAATATTAATTATTGCTATCAGTAAGGGTTGATGACAGGTAATATTAATTATTGCTATCAGTAAGGGTTGATGACAGGTAATATTAATTATTGCTATCAGTAAGGGTTGATGACAGGTAATATTAATTATTGCTATCAGTAAGGGTTGATGACAGGTAATATTAATTATTGCTATCAGTAAGGGTTGATGACAGATAATATTAATTATTGCTATCAGTAAGGGTTGATGACAGGTAATATTAATTATTGCTATCGGTAAGGGTTGATGACAGGATATATTAAGTATTGCTATCGACAATGGTTATATGGATGAACTATATCTGAGATGTATAACAAAGTATGTTATTAATTTCAAATGAGAAAAAATAAGAAATTTTAAAACGGATATTTGTTTTCTTCGCTCTTTTTTCTTTGTATGTTGATAGCGTTAAGAATATATGGGAAATTACACTGGAGTAAAATGTTAAAATACAGGGCATTTAGTTAGACAGACAACCGAATACAATTTACAATCAACATTTATATTCAAGTATATTTACACTGAGCAATAAGATTCACTGTCGAGGTGTCTAGTATGACTGTATATAAGCTTTTGAAACTAATCGCAAATCGGATGAAGAGAAATAATATTTCCCTTTTCCCTTTTCTAGATTGTTTGGAGTCGTCTCCTATTTCCATTTGAAGCTTTAAAGCATATTTGTAAGCCAGGCTTTTTTTTGTAACCAATCAACCGGCTAGAAGGTCAAAGTCCGTTCTGCGATAAACATACCGGCTCAAGACTGATCACATGCTTTTCTTAATTCTACCTTTGTTTTCATTTGATTCTACATTTAAAACACACTACCATAAAGCGCTACACTTACTAATAACAACAAAACATACCACTGACTGCACACAAGTGTATTCTTTATTTTTGAATAAGTCGAGTTAGCAAACTTTACAACATATCACATCCGGTCTGATTTGAAGGGACAAGTAGGTTGACCTGAGCCCCCAGGTCTGTTAAGTACTTGTACAAACATTTCTTTCTTCTACGAGGTTGTCTATTCCGGGACAATATAAATGCCCATTCTGGAATGAAAGAATAAGAAACGTCATATATCTGTCGTCAAAGATGTTGTCAAGCGTGTCGTCATATATCTGACGTCAAAGATGTTGTCAAGCGTGTCGTCATATATCTGACGTCAAAGATGTTGTCAAGCAGCACGTTATATTTCTGTTGTCAATGATGTTGTCAAGCATCACGTAATACATCTGTCGTCAAAGATGTTGTCAAGCATCACGTCATATATCTGTCGTCAAAGATGTTGTCAAGCATCACGTCATATATCTGACGTCAAATATGTTGTCAAGCGTGTCGTCATATATCTGTCGTCAAAGATGTTGTCAAGCGTGTCGTCATATATCTGACGTCAAAGATGTTGTCAAGCGTGAGTAACGTCATTTATCTGATGTCAAAGATGTTGTCAAGCGTCACGTCATATATCTGACGTCAAAGATGTTGTCAAGCGTGAGTAACGTCATTTATCTGATGTCAAAGATGTTGTCAAGCGTCACGTCATATATCTGACGTCAAAGATGTTGTCAAGCGTAAGTAACGTCATCTATCTAACGTCAAAGATGTTGTCAAGCGTGTCGTCATATATCTGACGTCAAAGATGTTGTCAAGCGTCACGTTATATATCTGACGTCAAAGACGTTATTATATGTTTTAACTTGCTTTTCCGTTAAAAATATAATATAAAGATTAATATCAAACTATCTATTTTCTGGGTGCGAAAGCATACGTGATTGAAATATATATTATATTTGACGAGAGACAATTACATATCCTTTTATCGAAGCGGTTTCTTCATTATTATGTTTTTTTTATTAAATTTTGTTTTTCTTGGGGAAGGCTGGGGGTTCTCATGGGTTTAACATCAGTTATTAAGGCCTTTCAGCAAATGTATATCCTCATTATTGCTGAAAAGCATAACTTCACAAACGTGTTCGTAGTGTAAGCATTACGAATCAAGGCGTACTAAAATCACTAGAGATAAATAGTTATAAAAAATGCCGTTCGTGTTGTAGAAAGTGACCATCTTGATCTTGACAAGGGATTTCTGTACGAAACATAACACCACCAATTGAAATTAGGTGTGGACACCTTGACCGGTACAATAGGTTCAAGCTGTATTTCACCAGGTATTAACTTGGTTAATACTAGGCCGATCTCGTTCATGAACACTCATTGGAAAGATAAAACATTTCTCCTAAAGGTAATAGTTTTGTTACTCATGTCCCTTAGAAGAATGTAAAAAAAATTATGTTTTCCATCTCAGGAGTTACCGCCCTTGACTATACATCGGCTGTGTGTTGTGAGTTCATGCCAAGTACTTATGTCACAAATGTATGAAATATTACAGATATACACTTGTTATCTACCGCTATATATGATGGATAATATCTTATTAAAATTCCTGTGGTGGTTACTACGTTCATTATACACACCTAGATTAGTGGCGTCGTCACAGCCATACAGCACGGCATGTCTTTTGTAGTCCGTGTAGATGACGTTTTGAGCCAGACCCCCTGTTAGTAGAATAACAACATTATTTTCGATTATCGATTATACAGATAATGTGACCACCTATTCCCATTTGTTATCATTTCCTTACTCACTCTGAATTTAACGAAAAATCACTATAGTATGGTTGACAAATAATAGACCAATCGAGCACTGCTTTTTCACAGTGGTATGGTTCAGATTTGTACTTACGAATGGCTTCGAGTGTAAGTTTGAAATAGTTAGGACGTCGAGCATTTACTTGTCTGAGGATGCCTCTCGTCGTTGTTTTATTCCTTCAGAAGAGAAAAGACACGACCATTTTTACTTCTATTTTGAAGTTGTATGCATATCTACTTATATATGAAGTAATCAACAAAGTTAATAAACACGTTTTAAAATGCCAAACTCTACCATCATTTATACACATAACTTACACTGACATCTCCAACCTAGTGTACGATACCCTCATGTTGCCGTTCCGTCTTGGGAAATATTTGTATGAAATACACCTTGTGTCAACCTGCAATGGATTGTCAAACCTTTCGATCTCGTACCATGTGCCCGCATACTGTAAAAATAGAACAAATCTGCTGTTATCTAGAGGTTAAAAGACGAGACACAAAACACCGAAGCCAATGCTGAGATGGACGGGAGGTTTTCACTCAGTGTTCCAGGGGTCAGATCGTTTTCGGTCTCTGCACCCCTGGAACATGCCATGCTAAAATTGAAGGTTCCATGTGCGACACCTTGTGGACAATAAGAACGACTAATTAGATCATTTGGTGTACATCAGACGAATCCCGGGGTCGCATTACGGTATATCGTAATGACTTTGAAGTTGAGTGTCGCTCTTCTGTAATCTTCAAAAGGAGTGTATCAGCCCGTGATTGGTCATTTTCCCCTGGAACCAACCAAATTACTTCGCTTGTGCCTTAATTTTGCTATAACATGTTCTGAGTGTGCTGATCGTAACAACCAATAAAAATGTGATTATGAAGTACCGACAGCTTGGAAGAGAAGGACCAACAGTGTCACTGATTCAGTCAGACACATACTGCTATGCTGTATGTAAGACACCGATAATGTATGTTTTATTACAGTTCCCGTCGTACTTCAATATATTTGTTAATGAAGGCCATGTGTGTATCCCTGTCCGTGAACGATTGATGTTGACGTTTATTGGGCCGCATCACTACCAGGATATGTGTCAGTTCGCGGCATTGTGACCACAGTGTAAATATCGTGGTTATATAGAATTACTATTTCACCCGAATGCCCATCTATGCAATACCACGAACAAAATTTATTTATCTAATGATTGTTTCGGATTATGACAATTGAATCATTTTCGGTGATTTGAACTTTGATTACTAAATGAAAATACTGGTAAAGTGATACATAACAGAAGTCTGTCCTGCTTTGGGCTCTTGAGGAATGGAGACCGGCCGTTGTTTGGGAAGATAAATGCTTCTGTGTTGGCTAATTATATACCAGGTATTGACTTCATCAGGAACTACCTCAGCAGATCGGACTGGTTTCTGATGAGTTAATTGTTAATCACGTCCTATTTACAGCCGGTGTCATTTCAGGAAGTGCCAGGTTTGGTGGTGTAGGAAAGCCGGAGAAAAAAAGTCGACCTGTGGCAGGTACCTGGTAATTGCATGTGAGGATGAGACACCTTAATCACCGCGGCTGATGTGAAGAATGTGGTTCCACAACGATCTATTTAGGACCTCTTGTTTGAAACAATTTTTATTAATTATATTTTCTACCTTTGTACACTAATGAAATTCATATATTTATGCTCTCAAGATATGTGATAGGTAAAATTTGTTTAGAATAAGATAACGAAATTGGTTCAATTTTAATGGCACCAAAGCAATCCAGAGAAATTCTAGAACATATATTTTGGTCTGATGTTAACAGTTCTGTTATATCTTCTGATACTGGAAGCTTGGAGATAACATTTGAAGTTTGTGTAACATTGCTAGGTGTTGATATCGTTTTTGTTTTCCTATCTCATATATCCTCATATGTTCATATCTCACTTTGTCAAAAATGCTTCAAATCAACTTACTTTCTTAAAAAGACACCGAAAAACTGTCTGATTCTGATATTGTCCACTTGCCCGGAACTTTTGAACACTGGCAGATATTAAGGAAATGAATGGAGTACAAAAGTGGTTATTTCGTTTTATAGAATTATAAATGGACACAAATTTGACTTTTTACTTGTACATGTAACACGTATGATCAAACTGACATTTCATCATTTACAGTATTGTACAGTATCTTGCTGAGAGGAAAGAAGTATTCTATAATCTTATAATTACCAGGTCAAGATCGTCGGAGATGAAAGCAAAGAAAAAATATCAAGATGTCGACAGAACCATAATCAAAACTCAAATTAATTCAAACTAGGGCAAAATTGGAACAAAGTCCGATATCCATGGACACTTCTTAGGACGTTTAAGAAAAGTAAGTGTTCCAGAAGAGGAAGCGTCTTCTGCTTCATCGACAACACCATTCATGTAAATTTTTGGTCAATCCAAATAATATCACAAATGAGAATACTGTGAACAACATCGGAATCCATAAGTATACTAACAAAAATCAAATTTCATATCGCACAGGAAACAGAATATCTCTTAATGACAGGCGTAAAACGTACATACTTTTCATTAACCTCCATTTCTCGAAACCCTGTGTTATGCTGAGTTTGTTAATTGCTGACATCTTGTAAGGGAAAAAAACATTGAACCATTAGTTGAGGATACAGGAATTTTGCACTCTAGCGATGGAAAATACGCTTGTCATAAAGCTTGGTAAAAAGATGTCCCTATTTATTTCGTTGTAGGAATAGATTAAGGTAAGCGACTTGTGCCTTTCCAGTTGTGCCACAACCTACCAAACGAAATTAAATTAGCTGAGAATGCAAAAAGCTTGCTGAGATTGATAAGACACTTGGTATGTTGAAATAAACTAATGTTCTTCGCAAGAAAGATATTTTGCTTTTCGGATGACTTACCCGGTTGAGTGAAAATGAATACCTCTTATATGGTAAGTGTGTCGTGTCACATGACGGATCATGTGAATCACTTACCCGTTTAATGTTGAAGTCAGAAATGACAGGAACGTCTGGGCATTGTAATCGCGACACAAATGGGGCTGTCACGCAGCCGGTAAACACAAGTATGAGAAGTACATGAACGTGGACAACCATTCTCTTCGCTGTCGTGTTACAAATGTCGTCCCAATTAACACGGGTTGGACTTAAATATGAACGTCTCGTGCCTCAGATCGTTTGGAAACTTAACGGGAAAGATCAATTCATTACGGACGCTTCAATTAAGTTGACAGATCTATTTAGTCACTGAAGACTTTGACCTGCCCCAGGTGAGATTCTCGACGATGTGAAATCGCCTTCAATACACCATGTCCTAATTGATTTTTCACGTAAAGGAGACATATTTGTTCCTTAAGGAAATATGGTAATTTAGTCTGATTTCATTTTCGTTTAAACCATTAACAGATGTTTCCTAAGTATAAGGCTAACATACCTTGATTTATGTAATCACAAGAAAAAATACGGAGAAGGGAAATCTTGTCGGAAATACGTAAAACTGACATTTGGTCTAGAAATCGTGTTAAATAACATTTCAGAAATTTAGTTGAAGCTCCTTTGGAAATCACTTCTGGTACAAAGAGTATGGTGCTTTAATGATTTTTTTATCTAATACATTGTGGGTTTACCACCATTTTATTTCTGTACTTGTCTGATTGTTGATTTTATCATTAACAGGTGTCAGGTAATGGTGTACATAGTTCATAACATAAATGTACAATTAGCTGTGAAAGGTACATATAATTTACTGGAAACAGGTAAACTTACACCAGAAAACGTACATATAATTTACTGGAAACAGGTAAACTTAAACCAGAAAACGTACATATAATTCATTGACAACAGGTAAACTTACACCAGAAAACGTACATATAATTTACTGGAAACAGGTAAACTTAAACCAGAAAACGTACATATAATTCATTGACAACAGGTAAACTTACACCAGAAAACGTACATATAATTCATTGACAACAGGTAAACTTAAACCAGAAAACGTACATATAATTCATTGACAACAGGTAAACTTAAACCAGAAAACGTACATATAATTTACTGGAAACAGGTTAACTTACACCAGCAAACGTACATATAATTCATCATTGACAACAGGTAAACTTACACCAGAAAACGTACATATAATTTACTGGAAACAGGTTAACTTACACCAGAAAACGTACATATAATTCATTGACAACAGGTAAACTTACACCAGAAAACGTACATATAATTTACTGGAAACAGGTAAACTTACACCAGAAAACGTACATATAATTCATTGACAACAGGTAAACTTAAACCAGAAAACGTACATATAATTCATTGACAACAGGTAAACTTAAACCAGAAAACGTACATATAATTCATTGACAACAGGTAAACTTAAACCAGAAAACGTACATATAATTTACTGGAAACAGGTAAACTTAAACCAGAAAACGTACATATAATTCATTGACAACAGGTAAACTTACACCAGAAAACGTACATATAATTTACTGGAAACAGGTTAACTTACACCAGAAAACGTACATATAATTCATCATTGACAACAGGTAAACTTACACCAGAAAACGTACATATAATTCATCATTGACAACAGGTAAACTTACACCAGAAAACGTACATATAATTCATTGACAACAGGTAAACTTACACCAGAAAACGTACATATACTTTACTGAAAACAGGTAAACTTAAACCAGAAAACGTACATATAATTCATTGATAACAGGTAAACTTAAACAGAAAACGTACATATAATTCATTGACAACAGGTAAACTTACACCAGCAAACGTACATATAATTCATCATTGACAACAGGTAAACTTACACCAGAAAACGTACATATAATTTACTGGAAACAGGTAAACTTACACCAGAAAACGTACATATAATTCATTGACAACAGGTAAACTTACACCAGAAAACGTACATATAATTTACTGGAAACAGGTTAACTTACACCAGAAAACGTACATATAATTCATTGACAACAGGTAAACTTACACCAGAAAACGTACATATAATTTACTGGAAACAGGTAAACTTACACCAGAAAACGTACATATAATTCATTGACAACAGGTAAACTTAAACCAGAAAACGTACATATAATTCATTGACAACAGGTAAACTTAAACCAGAAAACGTACATATAATTTACTGGAAACAGGTAAACTTAAACCAGAAAACGTACATATAATTCATTGATAACAGGTAAACTTAAACCAGAAAACGTACATATAATTTACTGGAAACAGGTTAACTTACACCAGAAAACGTACATATAATTCATTGACAACAGGTAAACTTAAACCAGAAAACGTACATATAATTTACTGGAAACAGGTAAACTTACACCAGAAAACGTACATATAATTCATTGACAACAGGTAAACTTAAACCAGAAAACGTACATATAATTCATTGACAACAGGTAAACTTAAACCAGAAAACGTACATATAATTTACTGGAAACAGGTAAACTTACACCAGGTACATATAATTCATTGACAACAGGTAAACTTAAACCAGAAAACGTACATATAATTCATTGACAACAGGTAAACTTAAACCAGAAAACGTACATATAATTTACTGGAAACAGGTAAACTTAAACCAGAAAACGTACATATAATTCATTGATAACAGGTAAACTTAAACAGAAAACGTACATATAATTTACTGGAAACAAACTTACACCAGAAAACGTACATATAATTCATTGACAACAGGTAAACTTACACCAGAAAACGTACATATAATTTACTGGAAACAGGTAAACTTAAACCAGAAAACGTACATATAATTTACTGGAAACAGGTAAACTTAAACCAGAAAACGTACATATAATTCATTGACAACAGGTAAACTTACACCAGAAAACGTACATATACTTTACTGGAAACAGGTAAACTTAAACCAGAAAACGTACATATAATTTACTGGAAACAGGTAAACTTAAACTAGAAAACGTACATATAATTTACTGGAAACAGGTAAACTTACACCAGAAAACGTACATATAATTTACTGGAAATAGGTAAACTTAAACCAGAAAACGTACATATAATTTACTGGAAACAGGTAAACTTACACCAGAAAACGTACATATAATTTACTGGAAACAGGTAAACTTAAACCAGAAAACGTACATATAATTTACTGGAAACAGGTAAACTTACACCAGAAAACGTACATATAATTTACTGGAAACAGGTAAACTTACACCAGAAAACGTACATATAATTTACTGACAACAGGTAAACTTAAACCAGAAAACGTACATATAATTTACTGACAACAGGTAAACTTAAACCAGAAAACGTACATATAATTTACTGGAAACAGGTAAACTTACACCAGAAAACGTACATATACTTTACTGGAAACAGGTAAACTTACACCAGAAAACGTACATATACTTTACTGGAAACAGGTAAACTTAAACCAGAAAACGTACATATAATTTACTGGAAACAGGTAAACTTAAACCAGAAAACGTACATATACTTTACTGGAAACAGGTAAACTTACACCAGAAAACGTACATATACTTTACTGGAAACAGGTAAACTTAAACCAGAAAACGTACATATAATTTACTGAAAACAGGTAAACTTACACCAGAAAACGTACATATAATTTACTGAAAACAGGTAAACTTAAACCAGAAAACGTACATATAATTTACTGGAAACAGGTAAACTTACACCAGAAAACGTACATATAATTTACTGGAAACAGGTAAACTTACACCAGAAAACGTACATATAATTTACTGAAAACAGGTAAACTTAAACCAGAAAACGTACATATAATTTACTGAAAACAGGTAAACTTACACCAGAAAACGTACATATAATTTACTTCAACCAGAAAACCTTGCCTTCAATTTCCTTTTTCAATATATGTTTTCGTCTTCCAAATAAGTGTCGTACTGTTGCTTCTGAAATACTATTGTTTAAAGACCATGTCAAAAATAGCAGAAATAATCAAAATGTTCACAAGAGTCACAACAGTTGAAACGACTGCTGAATCTGGTCAAAGAAAGATTTTTACACGAATGACCTTAATAACCTAGATCTAAATGAATAGATTAGATCACCTTGACCTACACTGATAGCCTTTGTGGCTTACCAACATGTCTTTCCTCAGTAATATACAATTATATGTTAATGTTATACACGTATATTTAATTTTTTGTTAAATTTTCCAGAAAGGTAAAACTTTCAGACAAGTTCCTAGATCAGCCAATAAAATATTTTACGTGGAACACCATTATGACGTCATAACTCTAGCTAAAGAGACAACGGTACACCGCCATATGATTTTCCCATCCAACAGTCGGTCGTTAACAGTTTTCATAAAGTTTGACAAATATGGCAGGAAATGAAGACGTAATAACTCTTTTGTTATGTCATGTGTACAGATTCAGAATTATTTGTTTGCTCTTTCACGAGAGGTCATTTTACAAAGTAAGAATTGTAACATGGCTAGTTTTGACTTATTACATAACTACGGTGCCAACTTATGCATGTGTGTAATCTGATGGATCATAGCAATGTTCTGTCATTTACAACGAGTATAAACACCAAATTAAATGCCACTTGAAGCAGGAAATATATATACCGCAGGATTATCTAAGCTACACTGTCTGGTTTCTCACGTCAAGTTTTGTTAAAATATCAAGATTTCATTTCATCAACAAACCGTTGTACCACTGATATTGAAAGTTGAGATGCTTTGATAAGAACACTCTTATTCTCTCCACAACACTTATTATATGATTTCACGACGCATTGTTATGTTTAACAGTAAAAGACGCATATTTAGGTCTTCGTATCATTTGTCGAGTAAAATTCTACTTGTATATCATCCCATTACTATATATAGATCTATTAGTTATCAGTGCTGTACATCAATTACTGTAAGTATCCCGTATAATATCGATGAATAAACAGGCTAATTGTCAATTATTTACAAGAATTCAAATGTATAGAAGATTTCACTGCTAGAAGTCCTAGTTATCATACATTGCTGTCTATGATTGTATAACATGGGTTTAATGTTTAGACAGCGTTTCTACTTTTTA